GCTTTCGAGAAGATTATTGTAACCTGACAGCAATAGTTACATACTGCAATTTGCATTTCAATACATGAATAATTGATTTTAAATATCTCTTCTAAAAATTTGAGCAGTGCCTTTTCCGGTGGTGAGCAACAGCAGCATCTTAACTAGCTTAGTCTCAGTAACTCTGAGACCCACTGATTTCTGTGTCATTCCACTGGTGGTTTGTCTTACTCTCTTGGCATTTAGTTGTTGCTTTATCCAACTGACAATGAAATTCTTATGGTCATTTAAAAACATGGACAAACTATTTTTATGTTTAGCTTCAGCTACTAATATCTACACAGTAAAATTATACAGCTTTCTTAGCAGAAAATCTTGGACTAACGCCTTTGAATATTAGAGAGATGTTCTCAAAAGATAAAAACTGAAAGCTGTGCTGTTTCTTAGTTCAGCTTGGAATTCTTCCTGAAATCTTAAGTGACCAGTTCAGAGTGGTCATATGAGGAGTGAAAAACAACTGCAGACCTGCAAACCGTAGTCTTGTTCATTTTCCACTAAACCACCTGGTGCCCTCCAGTGAAGCTCTCACTAACACATGTACTGCCACTCGAGAAGGAGCAATGAATGGCACTAAGATCAGTTTATATCAGGCATTCAAACCAGTCTCATTTTTGCTAACAATTCACTTGCTCATAGTTGTAATTTAAATACATATTTAAATATCTGTAAAAGCTTTAAAGAGAACTCGGAGTCCTGTTTATTTTGCAATCCCACCTAAGGCAATACTGTTCCTAATACGGCTCTGAGACTCACTTATTTCCTAGGCCTCATAGTGTCTCACTATTTCAGGCTGATCAAAGGAGGAAAGGACTTCTTTAGCATTGGCAGAAAGGGGTCCTGCAAACCCAGTAGCTACAGGAGACTGGTATGGTGTGGGAGCTTCCATTTTGCAGAAGTAAATTTTTTTAATCTCAGTGTGATGGGTTTACCACAGCCAGCAACTAAGCACCATTTTACCCCTACAGTGAGAAAACTTGTGTGTAGAGATAAACAGTTCAATAAAGAAAGAGGAAGAAACCCCAAACTGACGATGTGAAGGCCATCATTAACCACCTCCAATGGGTGAACTAGTAGGCCTAGCTAGTCTCTGAGCAATGTCTGCCTCCCCGAATTGCCCTCCCTTTTGTTTTTTTGCTGAACGGGATGTTGTACAGCACAGGATATCCCTTTGGTCAGTCTGGGTTATCAGTCCAGGTTGTGTCCCCTCAACTTCTTGCCCACGTCCAGCCTACTCACTGAGTAGGGACGGGTGGGTGGGGGAGAGAGAAGGCCCTGCCACTGTGTGAGGTGCTTGACAGTACAGCCATCCCGGTACATCCAGCTTCATGATATAGCACATACTCAAATGACATTCACAGTCAGTCATCATCAGTGGAGTGATAGGTGATGGATGGAGGGTCAGTGATAACTGAGTCCCAGCTGGAATGAAGCATGTGTTCTGCAAGTCAAGGCATTTTCAGGGCTTGCACCACATCTGTTCTTCCTGGCATTCTTGTCAAACAGATAATGTAGTATTGATATTTTTTCTATTAAGCTTGTTGTTTTCTAGTAGAAAACAAGGAGAAAGGAAACTTCTGTGTCCCTTGTTTGTAATTTCATTTTATTGAACAAGAGTGTTTAAGGGAAAAAATTCATGAGCTGTGGCTCACAGTCTAATATCATTGATGCCAGCAGTTTCCAAATCATTGCTCTGGTTGTTGTTTAGTTAAATATTTAGGTTATTTGATTGCATGTTGAAGGAAGCATTGTAGGGCAATGTAGCGAGCTAAGAAATGAGAATTACTATGTCTAGTTCCTTTTTTATTTTGTTGTTATAATTAAATCACTAGAGCATATTGTTGGGAATGTGTTGCTAGTGGACCAGCAGTGCATGCATCCTTCATTATTTAAAGGATATACACAGTTTTTGGAAATCATACAGGACACATTCATGGGAGAGCACAGCTGTCAGATTTAACAGGAACGGAGCACGCGATGTGGTAAGAGGGCAGTCTAAGGAGAGATGGGAGCCCGTATGCAGGTGCAATGTGAATAGATGAAGGTGTGGTCAAATTAATGTTTCACTTGGTTACATTTGCTGGAACTCTGCTCCAGAAAGCTCACAGGTTGTGTTTCTCAAGTGCCTGTGATAAAACCTTTTAGATAGGTCAGTCAGTCATCAAATGGATGTCAGAATAGAGAACTTTATTTCTGGTGTTAGCTCTTTTCTTGTTTGGGAGTTGATTCGGGGTGTGTTTAGGTGCTTGCCTGAGTCAGGATCTTTGTGTAAGATTTGCTGCCAAACTCCTTTGGCTCGCTGAGATTTTGCAGTTTATTGCAAGGAACTCTGGGTTAGGCCCATTTAGTGTCTGGGACAGATACTGTAAATACAGATAAAGAAGGGTGCAGCCTTAATTCTGACCCATTCCTTTGACCTGCTGGAACAACTCACTGCTTTGAAACTAGCTCTTACTTTGTGTCTTTGTTTCTCTAGCTGCAAGCATGAATGATATCTGTCTTGCAGTGTGTTTTGAGATTTACTGATGTGCCACCATTACTTGGTATTATCTCTGAATTGTCCCTGGCGAATTTTACCCAAATGTTTTCATTAAAGTCTTCCATGGAGTTTGGCCACTGCAGAGTGCCGGTGGGAATGTTCTTCAGGATTTTCTTCCTGTTCACACAGTGCTGACATCAGCTAGTCCAGAGCTCTGGGGCAATCAAGTACCCGTTGCTTTTCATCAGGAGTGGAATGCTGGGTCTTGGGTCAGAAATGTGAGTATGTTGATGAGTTCAGTTGTTGTTACAGTGCAGCAAGTTCACTGTATTCATACAGAAGTGTTTGAAGTGTTACACTTTGCTGAGACATCAAATACGACATAGGTTAGAATTAAAAGTTTCTGTTGCTAAGATCCACCGATGTTCATTTGTTCACTTGTTTGAAATAATGGGAAGCTTTTGCAATTCTAGGCTGAGAATAAAACAATAGGTCCTGAAATATAGATACTGTAATTGTCTTAAATTTATATTATTGTACTATTTAGGCTCACCTTATTCTCAGAAGAGGGTTTGAGCTGAATTAACCTTCTCTACCAACAGTATCTCAAGCAATTTGTATAATTGTATATATAGTTTTCACAATCGTCTACACTGAGGCAAAGCTTCTTTTCATAGCTACCACTGACCTTTTGTATAGGACCCTCTCTCTATAAGCTAATTGCATCAATTAGCCAGTTTAACTGACAACTGAACTGCAACCTATGAACTCCAGTTTTGTCTCTGTTAGATATTCCTGCCAGACAGAAGAGCAGAAATCTATGTTTGTTCTCATTTCACTTTGTACTTTTGTCTCCTTGAGATGCCTTTTGTATGGTGTTACTAGGACGGTACAGGCTATCCTACCAATTGTAATGCACAGATAGTAAAGATGTTAATATTTTCAAAATAGAACCCTTTCTCTCTTCCTTTAAAAAATCCAGCATAGGTGAACAGAGTAGTTCTCATGGCTGGCTGTGATGGATTTGAACTGTGATGGGTATTGAATGAGCTG